GAAATGCTGTCTTAACATCCATCTGATGTAACTCAAGATTGTAATGTGCAACTAATGCCATGATCAACCTAAAAGAATCTTTTGATGAAACCGGAGAGAATGTCTCTTTAAAATCAATTCCTTCCTTTTGAGTATAGCCCTTAGCTACAAGACGTGCCTTATGTCTTTCCACATTACCTTTTGAATCCCTTTTGGTCTTAAAAATCCATTTGCAACCAATAGGCTTTGTACCTTCAGGTAATGGAACAAGTTCCAAACTTTATTGTCTTGCATGGACTTATACTCATCGTTCATGGCATCAATCCACTTTTGAGAATTTGAACTTTGCATGGCCTGAGAGAAGTTGATTGGATCATTTTCAATCATTCCATCTGGTTCTTCATTTTCTTGGAGATATACATGGAAATCCGAAGGGATTGCACTTCTCCTTTCTCTAGTGGATCTCCTAAGTTGAGGTTGTTGAGGTTGTTCATTATGAACAGGAGAGTGACTAACATTGTCTTGTTGAGGTTCCTGAATTACTTCTTCTCCGACAGGCACATTAATTTGTGTATCGTCAAAAGTAACAGTAGGAATCGAGATTGATTCCTCCTCAAAGACAATGTCTCTAACCTTATTTCTCCCCCCAAACTCAACATCCTCAAAAAACGTTGCAGTTCCTGTTTCAAAAATTGATTTTGTTGCAGGATCATAAAACTTATAACCCCTGGATCGTTCAGAATAGCCAATGAAGTAGCTGCTAACTGTTTTGGAGTCCAATTTCTTTTCATTCGGCCTATAAGGCCTTGCCTCAGCTGGACATCCCCAAATACGAAGATGAGTTAAACAAGGCTTTTTCCCTGTCCAAAGCTCATAAGGTGTTTTTAACAGCTGCTTTAGTGTATGGTCTATTAAGAATGTAAGCTGCAGTCTTAAGTGCTTCACCCCAGAGTGACTCTAGTAAAGTAGAATGACATTATCATACTCCTTACCATATCCTTAAGAGTTCTGTTGCGTTCTTTCAGATACACCATTCATGCTAGGCGAACCTCATTGTGTATTGAGAGGACGATTCCACATTCCTCTAGGAATTTAGCAAAAGAACCTGGACGTTGGTTCACCTGATCCATCATATTCTACCATAGTACTCACCACCACGGTCAGATCTAACACATTTAATCTTTTTATTAAGTTATTTCTCAACTTTCAAGTTTAAAAGATTTAAACACTTCCAGTGACTGAGATTTTTCATGAATGAGATATAGATACCCATAACGTGAGTAATCGTCTATGAATGATATAAAATATAGTGACCATTCCAAAGAAGCCGAAGGGAATGGTCCACAAAATATCTGTTATGTATCAATTCTAAGACATCTTGAAGTCCTAGTGGCATCTAATCTTTTGGTTTTTGTCTGTTTTCCCTTGATGCATTCAACACAAATTTTCAAATCTGTGAAGTTGAGGTTACTTAACACTCCATCTGACACAAGCCTATCCATTCTCATTTTTGAGACATGGCCTAAGCGTTTGTGCCACAATGTTGCTGACTTTTCATTATTTAATTTTCGCTTAGTACCACGTGAATCCACGTGCAAGGTTTCATTATATGAAGTAACAATATCAAGCATATATAACTTATCACAATACGTTAGAGAACCAGTACTGATAAAATTTGAATTTAAAGACAAACTAAATTCACCATTTCCAAAAGAACAATAATAACCAGATTTATCCAATTTAGAAACAGAAACCAAATTGCGTCTAAAAGACGGTACAATGCAAGTGTCTTGAAAATCCAAATAAAAACCAGTATCTAGTAATAAACGAAATGTGCCAACTGCTTTGACTTCTACCTGCTTGCCATCACCCACATAGATATATCTTTCAACATCATTTGGTTTTCGCTAGTTCAAGCAACCCTGCATAGAAACACTTACGTGAGTAGTAGCACCAGAATCTATCCACCAAGTATTTCTAGGTACAGAAACTAAATTAACCTCAGAACAGACCAAAGCACTGATTATACCTTTCTTAACTCGCCAAGCGTGGTATTTTGGACAATCCGGCTTCAAGTGACCAGGCTCTTGACAAAAGAAGCATTTAGGAGGTCCCGATTCCTTTTTCTTTTGATCATTGCCTAAATGTTGTTTCTTTTGCATTGGTCCCTTATTAGCAGCTTCTTTTCTATTTCTTTTGCCCTTACCTTTAGAAGTACTAGCAAAATGAGCACTTTCAGTTGTTTCCTGCTTCATCCTTTCTTCTTCTTGCACACAAAAGGAAATGAGCTCATTAAGAGTCCATTTGTCCCTTTGGCAGTTGTAACTGACCTTGAACTGGTTAAATTCTGCAGGAAGAGAAAGCAATACCAAATGAACTAGAAAATCATCAGAAATTTCTAGTTTCAATGCCTTAAGTTTTGAAGCAAGATGAGACATCTCCATGATATGCTCCCTTATGTTTCCTTTGCCTTTATACTTCATTGAAATCAACTTTTGCAAAAAAGTACTTGTTTCAGCCTTATCATTTTTTGCAAAACGTTGTTCAATTTCAGCAAGAAAATCTTTAGCATTAATAGACTACTCGTTTGCACCTCTAAAGGCTTCTGGAACGCCGCGCTTAATGATCATTAGACTCATGCGATTTGAGCGATCCCATTTTTCAGCATCCCTTTTATTCTCCACTGAACTTGTGGCAGTAAGGATGGGTTGCTCAATCCGAAGTGCAAGGTCAAGATCCATGCAGCCGAGAACTAACATAATGTTCTCTTTCCATTCCTTGAAGTTAGTCCCATTGAGAACTGGAATGTGATTCAAGTTGGAAGATATTATACCACAATTAGCATTTGTTGTCTTTTAGAACAAAATATTAATTAGTTTTTATGCTCATTAAACCATAATTATAATCAATAAAATCAAATTATGACATCACAAGGTATCAACACAACATTAATATCAAGTCTTTGAACAACAATATTAACTTTTAAGAGATATCTTGTTTAAGTAGTAAAAATATTGACAATAAAACATGTTAATCAATAAGCCCCTCTTTGGATTGACTAATTAATTACATGAAACCCAAAAATAATCATATATTTACCACTATATATATGTATGTTTATCCGACCAAATATTAATCTACCTTTGGGTCGATTAATATCCGCATTGACAAACACATAAACCATAAAATTTAATAATAATATTTGACAATAATTCATGCCGTTTAACAAGCCCCTCTTTGGATTGACTTGTTAACGACATGTAACCAAAAAATAATTGTCGCATATTCATTATCATATTCGTTTTTTTTTTGGCAAAATATCAACCTACCTTTGAGTCGATTAATATCCGCAATAATAAACACATAAACCGTAATGTTTAGATTCTTAGAAAATTAATTTTCTAAGAAAATAAATAATGTCACAACTGAATTTATTGACGAACCATAAAAAAAAATGACCGGGTAAAAAAAAATAAATTACAGATTTATTAACTTGAACATGACAATAATAAACTGCTATTAAATTGAGTACTTTAAAATAACCATGCAGTTTTAATTTACACAATAAAGCCTTAAACAAATAAAATGCTAATAACATAGAAGTATTTTATTTATTTATTTTTCTTTTACAACGATACCAAAATAAAATAAACAAATAAAGTTGATTTATCAATGAAGGTATTCTATGTATAATAACTTAAAAGAGAATAAATGTTGCCGTTATTTTAATAAGATCGAATATCATACACAAAAAAATAATCTCACAGACAAATCTTAACCAATTACCTAAACAATATTAGTTTTGCACGCAGGACAATATTATGAACCATGAATTTCGCTAAATAGTAAATTCAACCAAAACATGAACCAAAGTTTGATTATATATTAATGAAATTTAGTGCATATAAATATAATGTTATAGATCTTAAACCAACATAAAATTTCTAGTACCAAATTCGAGAAAGCTCTGATACCAATTGTTAGTGATTATTCACTTATTCTATATATGCGGAAGCTTTCAAGACCAGATCTTAAACTCCAATCTGGATAAAAGAAAATAGGTGAAGGAGATTGGGTACCTGCTTCCATTGAAGCTTTTGGATCTGAAGAACAAGCTTGGTTTTCCAGTTGATATCAAGACAACTCTAAGAACCTTTTGCATATAAGAAAAACGAATTTGTGAATTAATTTCATCTCCTTTGATTTCCTCCTCATCACATATATTTATAGATGGAGATAAACCCTAATGTGAGAGATTGAAGGGATCTTGAGGATCTTGAGTTAAACCGGGAACTCAAGCCACAAATGGTAAGTGAATATCGGTCCATCAACAATCTTATACACTTGCCATAATATTTGGATTTAAATGATAACAATATATATGTTCATTTATAGAATGGTCCCATGATTTTCTAACATTATCAACTAAAACCAATTCAAAATCCAAAATATTAATTCGGTTTTGCTAAAAAAACCAATCCAAAGAAACCAAATAATCTCATCTAAATTGTCAAATTTGACAATTCGATTTTATTCAAATAATAAAAAAACCCTAAACATATGCACAAGTTAACCTGAAAAAAATCATTTGGTCACAAATTCCATAAAATTCATCAGTATATGTTCATTTAGAGTAGCAAATTGTTATAAATAATGAGCAATTAACCAATAATATGAATTGGAATAATGATATAAAGGAATTTCAAAAGTCCATGATTATTGAATAAAGAACAAATGTGCTTTTCCAAATTTGAATAAAAAGTACACATACTTGTGTGCTTTGTCTTTCAAAAACAGAACCATTTCAACATATACATTTTTTTCAAAAAACAAATCATTCTTTTTTCAAAATACTATAAATAATCTTTGTTAATTACCCCTAAATTTTAATTTCTTATAAAATATTCTCACTTTATAACTATTATATATAGGTTCCAGTCGACAGTTTTATATTATTTTTTTAGAAACATAAATGATAACATGTGAAGCAGTTGGATTTAGTTTTTAAGTCACTTGGTTCAAGTCAACAACTTTATGATATTCTAGAAAAACCTAAGGGGGATCTAATCTCTATAACCAAACTCAGATCCGTTTATTGCACATAGCCATTACCATATCAAATCACCAATATCAGAAAACAATGTCTTCTTCAGGGGTTAACCTACAAAGTTTTTTAATTCCACTCAAGGAGATCAAGTTGGCAACGGCAGATTTCAGTCATGAAACTCAGATCGGAAACGGTAGACTCAGTGTGATCTACAAAGGTCATCTCTCAGAACGTTGGGAAAACCGCATTGTTGCAATCAAACGAATTAAAAAGGGTAGTAAACAAGGAGAACAAGAGTTCCATAACGAGCTCCAAATGATTTCTATGTTTCACCATCAAAGTATCATCCCTTTCGTTGGTTACTGTGATGAAAGCAGTGAGATCATTATTGTTTATGAACATGTTGTCAGTGGTAGCCTTGATCATTGTCTTAAAGACGAGATTAACAGGCGTTGCATAACATGGGCACAACGCCTCAAGATTTGCATAGGGGCAGCAAGAGGACTTGGGTATCTTCACTCGGGTATAGGTGAAGGCATCCCAGTAATTCACAGAGCTGTTAAGAGCTCAAATATATTACTAGATGACAATTTGGAAGCAAAAATTTGTGGTTTTGGTTTGTCACAGTTTAGCAACATAAAACAGCGAAATACTCGAAACAATGCAAAGGCTTCGGGTACCCGGTATTACATGGATCCTATTAACCATGGAAGTGGTGTAGCCAAGATCGAATCGGATGTTTATTCATTTGGGGTCGTGTTGTTTGAAATGTTGAGTGGGATGTTGGCTGATTCTACAAGGAGCATCGATGATCATAAGCCACAAACTCTGCTTAATCTTGTTCGACGCTACTATGATGATGGGGTGGAGAAGTTAACTGATCCGTGTATAATAAATCAGATCAATAGTCAATCTTTTCAGATGTTTAAAGAAGTAGCATATAAGTGTATCAGTTTCATAGTGGAGGATCGCCCTACGATGGATGTGATAATCAAGAAACTTGAGGAAGCATTAGATATTCAAGTAAGTTTTATTTTTTTTATTTATTTTTTATTTATTTTTTGTTTCATTTGAATAGTTTAAAGGAAATTTAGTTTATACGCAAGCATGATAACTACCGTGGACAATAAATACAACATGATAAATTGGTTTATAATTTTAGTTTTTTCTTTTCATTTTTTTTATTTATTTTATGGATGCATTTTGAACGAGGGTCATGTTTTGTCATGTTAGCTGGCTGTCATTCTTTTTAAGTATAAAACCCATAATTTAATGCAGCAGCTCAACAGAAACACCAAAAAATAATAGCTCATTTGTTATAATATTTGCGGTTTCAAAAAAAAAAATTGTTATAATATTTGTTTTTGGGCATCTACAATATATATATATATATATATATATATATATATATATATATATATATATATATATATATATATATATATATATACTAGTTGTGAGACCCGTATGTTATACGGGTTGGATAAAATAAAAAAAATTAAATATGAAGGTTTAAATAAAAATTTATTTAAATTTGAAATTTAAAATTTAAAACTTGAATTTAAAAGGAAACATATTAAATAATATATGAGTTGTAATATTGTAATTTAATTGTTATTTTCAATTAAAGTAATTATTAATTAAGATGTAAATATGATGTGTTAATTAAGAAAGATAAAAAAAAATGAGAAAATGACAAATGGAAAAAACATTTATTAAAAAATACCACAAAATGACAAATATCAAAACTCATGAGAGATTGACATGTGGCAAAAAAACCTTCATTTATTAAGGAGTATATATATATATATATATATATAACATAACCGATTTTTTAACAAAATTTTATTTCCAAAGAAACTGAAAAAACCAAACCGATTATAACCGAAACCAGTTTTTCAATAATCGGTTTTTTTATAAACCAGTTATTTTAACTGGAACTGGTTTAAAATCCGTGTTTGTAGACCTCTAACTCAGACCACTCCATTTAACTATGCATTGTGAATCTGTGATGCTTTAAACCATGGCAAAATAAATAGGTTCTTGAGCAAAGTTGTTTATGTTTATTTTCACAGAACCATGGAGCTACTTCAACCACTATCGTTCAAAGCTACCCATATCAAAAGTTGGAACGTTTTCTAATTCCACTGAAGGCGATCAATTTGGCCACTAATGAACTAAGTAAAGAAACTCGAATCGGAGATGATGGGAATGGTTGGGTCTACAAAGGAATACTCTCTGAACGATGGAAAAATCTCACAGCGGCCTTTAAGCGCTTTAATCCCAATCGTTACCAAGCAGCACATAAATTCCATAATGAGATTGAGATGATGTCCAACTTCAATCATGAAAACATCATCCCTTTCATAGGCTATTGTAATGAAGGGAATGAGATGATTATAGTTTCTGAATACGCTGAAAACAATACCCTTGCTCATCATCTTTATCTCTACCGAAGGAGTCGTTTCATAACATGGGAACAACGCCTTAAGATTTGCAGAGGAGCAGCTAGAGGACTCAAGTATCTTCATTCAGGTCTTGGGGAGTACAACAGAGTGATACATAGAGACTTCAATAGCGCACACATATTGTTAGATGGCAACATGGAAGCAAAAATTTGTGGTTTTGAATGGTCAATATCAGTCGAACGAAATCAAAAACAAGTCACTGAACTTGCTGCGGTTAACACAAATTCAGTTTACTTGGATCCCATTTACAGTGAAAGTGGCATCGTTAAGACAGAATTAGACGTTTACTCATTTGGGGTTGTACTTTTTGAAGTGTTGTGTGGGATGTTGGCTTATAGTAAAAGGAGGATTGGTGATGATGAGCCACAAACACTCCTAAATTTGGTCAGACGCTACTATAATGAAGGACATGATAACTTAATTGATCCTCAAATAAGAGGTGAAATTAATACTCATTCTTTTCATGTGATTAAAGAAATTGCACATCGATGCATTAGTTTGAACCTAAAGGACCGCCCCACAATGAACACGATCATCAAGAGCATTGAAGAAGCACTAGATATTCAAGTAAGTTTTTTTCATTCAATTTTCTTAAGGAAAACCAGTTTTATATGTGATCAAGGAAAAAACATTTTGTGTCATACCACATTATAAATTTGTTTTAATTTTGTCAAATGCGGCCTATAAAGAACATTAGCCTTTCAGAATGCAAGGTCATACAAACTATGACCATTCATAATGCATTGAGCTTAATAGAGTTTAGGATTGAACGCTATAGAACTTGATGTATTCCCACGTTATTATTCCACTTTTCAAACAACTTTACTGTTTTTTTTTTCTAATAAAACAATGAACATTACAAAAGTTCAACGTAACATATTTTAAAAAAAAAATCATTAACTTGTTAATCATTTTATGTCAATTTGGCATAAAATTGGGCATACATTAATTTTCTTTGCCTAGTCTAAAGTCTGTAACCATTCAATGTCAATTGGGCATACATTAATTTAGATTAGGCAAAATAATAGTTCAATACATTTAATGTCAATTGGGAATTTCAACCCACTCAACCATTTTATTATACTATGCATTATGGATGCTCTAAGAAACATAGATTAACTTTTTTTGCCTAGTCTAAGTAACAATTCGGTTTGAGTTGTTTGGTAGATATTTATATCTACATATAAACAAGGTTACATAATGACCAGATTTTATAGAAAGAATGAAGCATGTGACATAATAGGATTTACGTTTTGAAAGGCTTTGTTGGTGTATATATTTCACGTAGGGAAACTTATAATGGCACACCATCTCTAAGCAAATTCAGGTCTATTTATTTTCACAGAACCACGGAGCAGTTTCTACAATTACCCAACCCAACCAACAATCTCAAAAGCTAGAAAGATATCTAATTCCACTAAAGGAGATCACTTTAGCAACCGCATGCTTCAGCTCTGAAACTCGGATCGGAGATGGTGGATTTGGTGTGGTTTATAGAGGACAACTTTCTGAGCATTGGGAAAACTGCACAGTTGCCATCAAACGCCTTGATCCGCAAGGTCATCAAGGAAAGAATGAGTTCCTTACCGAACTTAACTTGATTTCCAAGTTCCATCATCAAAATATCATCCCTTTCATCGGTTATTGTGATGAAGCCAATGAGATGATCATAGTTTACGAGTACGCCAACAATCGAAGCCTTGATTATCATCTCCAAGACTCGAATAAAAGGCATTGCCTAACATGGGTACAACGCCTCAAGATCTGCTTAGGGGCAGCAAGAGGGCTCAACTACCTTCACTCTGGGTTAGGTGAGGACAACAGAGTAATACACAGAGATATCAAGAGTGGAAACATATTGTTAGATAAAAATATGGAAGCCAAAATTTGTGATTTTGGTTTGTCGAAAGAAAGCATGAGAAATCAACAACGTAGTCATATCTATACAAATGCTGCAGGCACCAACTTCTACATGGATCCCATTTATCATGAGAGTGGCATCCTCCGTAAAGAGTCGGATGTGTACTCATTTGGCGTGGTGATGTTTGAATTGTTGAGTGGGATGTTGGCTTTTTACAGAAAGAGCTTTGGGGATGGTAAACCACAATATCTAATAAGTTTGGTGAGACGCTACTATAACAATGGGCTCGAAAAATTAATTGATCCGTTTATAAGAGATGAAATTGATAGTCGTTGCTTTTATACGTTTAATGAACTTGCATTTCAGTGCATAAGTCACAAATCGGAGGAACGCCCTACAATGGAAACAGTCATAGAAAGGATTGAGGATGCAATGGATTTTCAAGTAAGTCCTTCTGTTTAATTGCTTCAAAAAAATTCTGTTTTCAAACACACAAATGAAAATTAGCATGGATTATACAGTAAAATGAATCACTCTATTTGTTCTTGTAGTAAGTTTAAAAAATGTTGTTCTTTTCTAATTGGATTTAAAAACTTATCCTAGTTTTTATTGTCTTTCAAAATTGGAATTATATTTCAAAAAAAAAAAATCATTTTTGACATTTTTATTAATTTATTATTTTATAATCTTATTGTATTCTGAATTATTTACATAGTCATTAGATGGTTAACATAGAAATATAAATCATTGTAAACAGCTCATATAATTACTAATATCTATCGGAGAACTCTAAAATAAGACCATTATTTAATTTAAGAATCATTCCATTTTCTATTGCTATTTTCTTATACTTCTTACTAATAAGCGAGTGTACATGTTTTCTAAAACAACGAATTCATTCTAGGCTATATATGTTATCGTACCTAGGAATTAAAAATGAGAGATACAACTAACAATAGTTATATCATATCATAATTACAACTAGAAAACTTAAAATTGTGGTGATGGTGGTTGTAAAAAAATAACGATAAAGGTTGTATTCAATCAGTCAAATCTTTCTATTCTAATAAAAGAATAGTTTTATTTTCCTTGTGACATGTATCATCCCATTAGACATTTTAATTAATATATATATATATATATATATATATATATATATATATTTTGTCATGTGGCACTCTATTATATCTCCTAATTAATACATATCACTTATCAACCTATGAATTTTTTATTTTAAATTTCAAATTTTAAATTTCTACCTCTAAGAAAATTAAATTAATAACATTAAATTAAAATTAATATAAATTATAAAATGATATAATTTCACATATTTATTTAAATCAATGATTATAATTTTATATAACTAAAATAACTTCCTAATTAACAATTTATTTAAAATAATTGATTAATAATTTTAAATTTTTATTATTAAATTTTAATTAATTTAATAACCATGGTTCATACTGATTATAAACTAGTTGTAAATAATTTTTTGTGTCGATCCCATTCTTTCCAAGACCAAACAAGGAAGTTTGCTTTAATTTGCCTCCAGCCAATATGTCTATATGCGAAAAGAAGAAAAATGAAATTGGGTATCAAGGTGTTAAAATTAAGAAAAATTAAAAAACAAATTTAACAAATAAAGGGCTGTAATATTTTGTTCTTGTTATTATTATTATTTTTTTAAATTAAAGATGATTCAGATATATTTTAATTGTCATCGTACAATAAGTGAGATGACAAACGGGCAACAAGCTGTACCGTTAAGCGCTTTTGAATGGTAAAACTAATTCTTTTAAAGAATCATCGTACATTTCTTGTTGTTATTTCAGGAACTTAAGAAGTGTAAAAAGAGGAAAACTTGAGAACCTGTTATTGTGGTTGCCTGGTTGGCAGGGTGTGTTGTTATATGTATAATGGCGAAGAGTATCAAGTAAAACTTGGATAATTAATTGAATTGTGTTACAAACATTTTCCTATATTATTATTCTATATAGTAAGTTTGTTTGGTTGAAATATCGAAACCGATGACGTGATATTTATATATTATCTATAGTGGTTTGTTTATTATTGGTGATGCATTTACCCACTACAAATAGGATTTAATTATGTAATTAATTGTAACCCTTCCCCTAAACATAAAGCTTATAGTTAGTATCAATATCTTTATAGTTACCAAATGATTTCTAGTCCAGCGGTATCCGGTGTTGTCATCATTTCTTGAGGTTGAGGTTTCAAGTCCGATAGTTAATATATGTGGAATTAATGAGTAGTTTAGGAATAAAGTAGATTTGCCGTTATAGTTGACCAATATTATTTTCAATTAATTGTTCTTAATTCTGCATATTGATATTTATTAGACTAGCCGATTATATTGTGATATCTTGTAATATTTGGATATTAGAGGTAGTCAAGTGTTAATATTGTCAACTATTTATATTCACATATGTGGAATTAATGAGTAGTTTAGGAATAAAGTAGATTTGCCGTTATAGTTGACCAATATTATTTTCAATTAATTGTTCTTAATTCTGCATATTGATATTTATTAGACTAGCCGATTATATTGTGATATCTTGTAATATTTGGATATTAGAGGTAGTCAAGTGTTAATATTGTCAACTATTTATATTCACGTGAATGAAATGGAAATCATTTTTGGTGGTATCATCTTCTCTCTCAACTCTGCAGCCGACTTCTTCAACCCTGGTTGCAGATCATCATCTTGTCCCTCTCATTTCTTCTTCTTCATCGGATTTTGTCTATTGCAATGGCAACTCCTCTACATCATGTTGTTACGGTAACCAATATCAGAAACTACATTCCTGTTACTCTTGAAATTGAAAACAATAAATATACATCTTACGTTGAACTATTCAAAATCCATTATCATGCTTTCCAAGTGCTCTATCATATTCTACCACCTGCTATAGTCGATCCTTCCTCTGCCAGCGACAAAGATTCTACTGCCAAGTCTAAGGAATAGTGGCCACGTCTAGATGCAACTGTTCTGCAATGGATATATGGGACAATCTCTAAGCATCTATTCATCACTATTCTCACTCCTGGAACAACAGCCGTTGATGCCTGGAAAGTAATAAAACATATTTTTATTGATAGTAAACCAGCCAGAGCTTTATACCTTCAACAAAAATTCACCAACACAAAGCTTGAAAATTTTGCCAATATAGTTGTCTACTGTCAAGAAATCAAGAACATATCAATCCAAACTCACCAATATGGATGCTTCAGTTAATAATCAATTTTTGGTGCTAATAGCATTGCTACACTCCTTCAAGAATCAACATCGCTTTCCGACTTTTATTCTACCCGTTCACAATTGTGCCTTGAAGAAACCAGAAAATCTCTACAAACACCCACCAACGTCTCCCTTACTGTTTAATTGGTCACTACTGCCACACCGCCATCAGCTAATTTTGTGACATCTGCCCCAATCTGGCACTCAACAACCTCAGTCTTTGGTCAAAGGCGCCTCAGAAGGTTTCTATCGTGGCAGGGGGCAGGTGCAGAAAGGGATGGGGACGTGGTCGTGGACGTGGATTATATACTCAACAGTAGAAGCCTCCATGGATAACCTTGAATGGAACCACTTGGAACTCTCTGCAAGTTCCATACCCCATAGCTCCTCCTTATTGTCAATTTCGCCCACCAACAGTCGATATTTTAGGACCATCTCCAATACATGTTTATGCTGCCTCTGAATCTTCGTACACTTCAACTAATATCAAACAAGCCATGCACACGATGAGACTGAATTCGGACCCCAATTGGTATTTAGAAACAAGCGCCATGAATCACATGACAAATACGATAGGTGAAATCTCAACTTATGTCAATAATAGTGGACCAACCCATATTGTTATTGGTAATGGTTAATGTTGTGACATCTCATCGGATCTTCGGGTTTTGAGTCTTGGATCCGGATCGGATGCCATATGTGTATTCCTGAATTGGTACCTAGCAAGAACTACAAAAGATCATTAGAGTTGCTCCAGGGCCGAAGCTTAGAAACAAGCTCCACCGATCAAGTCAGATCGGTGAAGATGATGAACAGGTTTATCCTAGTCGGAGAGAACCACTTTTAGGTGTGGGTTATATGTCTAGCCATGACGCCTGTGTAGAGGTTGAGAGAGAAAGAGAGAGAAATGAGGACCATTCTAGGTTTTTTTAGGTGAAAGAAGATCCCTTTAAAAGGTGGGGAGACATGTTCTATTTATAAGGGACCTTTAGGTCAGAAGGGTAATTATGTATTTTCATATTGTAATTAGGTCAAAAGGAGATTAGTTCAGGTCTCGGGCCCATCCAGTTCAGGCCTAGCTAGCAAGAAGCTGGGCCAGGTCTCCAGGGATCATCAAGCGAACGTCGGAGGTCACCAGACAAAGTTGTTGATCTAGATCTTGAGGTTTGGGCCATGCTAAATAGGCCATGCCTTAACAGTTAACACATACTGATTCATGGCTCTGGACACACTATACTTCAACTTCCTTTCCCCCCTCTCAGACTCTCATGTAACGTCCTAAAAATTAAGAGTAAAATTTTCAGTTTTAGAACAGTAAACCATACAAGTGAGTTGTTCCAAAACCAATCAAAGTGATTACATCATTTAAATCATCAGAGTATAAATCATAAGTAGTCAATGAGGAAACCCTGGGGTATGCAATATAGTCACGACGAGCCCTTCCCTTTAGAACCGGAAGTACCTGAAACAATAAACATAAAACTGTAAGCACAAAGCTTAGTGAGTTCCCCAAAATACCACATACCATACATATAATAGAGATCGATACACGCCAAACATAGTCTTACAATTTCCATTATGAAATGAGTCGCATCATGGTCTTTCTTTACCGAGCTGAGGGCCAAAACCTAGGTCTTACAAACTGTAACGCTTGTTTCAGGTATCATTTATTTCTCTAACATTTTAGAGTTTTGGACTGGGACTCGACGAGTTGGGGTCCAACTCATCGAGTAGGGATCATTATGGATGCGGGTTGAAGGGTTTACTCGACGAATTGGGAGGCCCCAACTCGACGAGTAGACACTGGAAAGGAAAACCCTAATTTTTCGGGTTTTGCACCATATATAAAGAACTTATGGCTCATTTGTGGCCTCCCCCATCGTCTTTCCAGCCCATAGAAACCCTAGTTCGAGCCTTATATCTTCTTTTGTGTGTATGAGAGCTTTGAGAGTGACTTTTGGTGCTCATTTGAAAGGAACTAGAAGCTTGAAGAGGATAGATTGAGTAGAAGGTAGTAGATCCAGGATTTCCTCCAGTGTTGCAGCTACATTGAGGTATAAAGTCGAAACCTTGGCCTTTTAATGCTTAGAACTTCCTCTATGAAAGTTTATGGCAATCATTAGCCTAGTTTGGGATTATTCTTCGGTTTGAACACGATATGAATATTTGGCCTCAGATCTGGATATCTCAGGGCCTTTGTGGACTTAAAGTTGCCAACTTTATCAAGTCTTGGCCCTCATTCATACTCTAAGATCCTTAATAAGCTTGTTTAAGCATTTTATCCCTTGGATGCCTTGCATGGATGTAAAGTTATTAACTTTACATGTTATCTTAACCCTAGGGGATTGGATCTATAGTTTAAGGATTTAAATTCAACTAAAAAGGGTTGAATAGGTTAAGACTAGGAAAACTCGACGAGTTGGATCGAGTTACCCTGCTTTCTGGATACTGAGTGAACTCGACGAGTTAATGAGACAACTTGGCGAGTTGGCTAGGGTTTTTCCCGGTTTTCTGAACACTGAAGGAACTCGACGAGTTGCTAGATGCACTTAACGAGTTGGGGTCAACATGAAATGTTGACTTTTAATTGGGCCAGGGTTGACCAAGTTTGACTGTAAGGGTATCTTTGTTAATTCGGGGTTTTGTGAAGTGATTACATGTTGGTTGTAGACGGTTGAGTTTGGAGTGTGAGTTGGGATTGGATCTTATCAGTTCAACATTTCTTGAAAGGTAAGTCTCCTCACCATACCAATGGGTTGAAGGTACCAAGTTCGGCCCATTATTGCTATGTGATGTGTTAGCTGATTATTTGTTATGGGTTATGCTAGTTGTATTTATGGTAATTGCATGAAAGACCTTGGGGGTTCCTGAGGAACTTTCGTGTAAGACCTTGGAGGGTTTCCATGGCATCCTGAGTAAAGACCTCGGGGGGTTCCCGAGGGAATGGGCTAAGACCCTGGATGGTTTCTAGGGCACCCAGAGTAAGACCTTGGATGGTTTCCAAGGCATCCTTATTGCATGACTTGTGGGATTAATATGGATGATATGATTATGTGGATTATGTGGGGTATGCTCTGGGGAACTCACTAAGCATTAGCTTACAATTTGTTGGTTGTTTCAGGTACTTCAGAGCATAAGGGCAAGGGCCTGACTTGATGGCATGGCAAGCACTCTCCGACGATTGTATTTAGGGACATTCTGATATTACGAATAAAATGTTTGATATTGTGGATTTGGAAAACCATTGTAATTGGTATTTTAGTCATTGGAAACCATTTTATTAGTTAAAAATGAAAATTTTTATTTGAAAATTTGGGTCTTTACACAAACAAGTGCCAAGAGCCAACTCCTGGTCTTCTATGCAAGTATCACAAAGACAACTAGCATACTACATATAACTGCCATGGTCCAGAACCTAGGCTTGCATATAATTTGTTGGGAGCCATACCCAAGTCTTTCATACAATTGTCAGTAGCCATATTGGGGTCTTTGATTCAATTTCCAGGTGCCCCAACCTGGTCTTTCTACATAACATTATCCAGTGGGCCGGTATTGGTACCTTTGACCTATAAGTACAGTGAGGAGGCTCAACTGAATCACAAAGCCGACTAAAACCCAGATCAATGTCGCTCCGACCACAACTAACAACTCTCACCGCCAAAATGTGGGTGATAAACACCTCCTAACAATCCACACAACGTAA